GACGCAGATGGAAAATACAAGGGGGCGGTGAGGGGTGAAGAGTTCTGGGAATTGGTTTCTGCATGGAGTCTTACAAGGTACTTACGATTACTAAGCTATAACCAGGCATGGTGTTGTACACCTGTAATCTAAGCACTTGGAGACAGAAGCAGGAGGATTGTGAGTTTCAGGCAAGCATAGGCTATATAGCCAGACTGCCTTAAACAAAACATGACTTAATAAACTGAACTTTTATCATACACAAGTACTCATACACACAGTGAACAAACTGGGAATATTGTCCTGTCATAGAAAGACTAACTGCAGTAAGGAACTAGAAATGGGTTGGTATGCTAGGAAAACCTTCCTGTGTGCAGGAAAAAAAAAAAAAAAAAAGCAGGAGCCTCATAAAAAGTTGAGAATCAGCTGGGTTCTGGTGGCTCACAACTGTCATCCTAGCTCCTCAAGAGGCTGTGATATGAAGATTGTGGTTCAAAGGCAGCCTGGGCAGGAATGTCTGCCAGACTTCTTATCTCCAATGAACCACCAAAAAAACCAAAAGTGGAGTTGTGGCTCAAATGGATAGAGCACCAGTCTTGAGCACAAAAGCTCTGGGACAACACCCAGGCTTTGAGTTCAAGCCCAAGGAGTGGTACACACACACATACACACACACATACACACACACACACACATACACACACACACACACACAGAGCCAAGACTCTTTTTTTTTTTAAAAAAAAATGAAGGGCTGGGTAGAGCGCTTGCCTTGCATGCCTGAGGCCCTGGGTTCGATTCCTCAGCACCACATAAGCAAAAAGGAAAAAAGCCGGAAGTGGTGCTGTGGCTCAAGTGGTAGAGGGCTAGCCTTGAGCTGAAGAGCTGAGGGACAGCTCCCAGGCCCAGAGTTTAGGCCCCATGACTGGACCCAAAATAAAATAAAATAAAAATAAAAAAAAAATGAAGAGGAGAAGGCTAAGCATTGGTGGCTCACACCTGTAATCCTAGCTACTCAGGAGGCTGAGATCTGAGGATCACAGTTCAAAGCCAGCCTGGGCAGGAAAGTCTGTGAGACTCTTACTTCCAATAAACTACTCAAAAAAAGCCAGATGTGGTGCTGTGGTAGAGGGCTAGCCTTGAGCACAAAGAGGCTCAGAGACAGGGCTCAGGCCCTGAGTTCAAGCCCCAGGACCCACAAAAAACACAACCACCACTCCCCCCTCCAAAAACAAACAAACAAACAAGGAGGAGCATGAAGGCTCTGATATCAAGCTGTGAGACCTGAAAGGGTTAAAGAGTGTGGAGTACCAGCTGGAAGCACCCTCAGAATGCTGAGGTCCACATCCAAATAAGGTCCAATGGTTGAGGCTGACAGAGGTAAACCTTGCTACCCTAAGTGTGTTTAAATTAGAGCTGCTTGGACACGAAAAGCTTAAGGCCTTGGAGATAAGATGGAGGTTTGCTATGTTCTTGCCATGTTTATTTCTATATATATGAATTAGACCCCATATGAATGGTTGTAGCCACGAGAGATTGATACCCTACCCTCTGCACTTACCTGCCGTCACTCCTCCTCCTGTACTGAACTCAATAAAAACTTGTAAATGGGATGTTGGGATCTGATAGCACGAATAGCATCAGGTCCCCTGGTCCCCCAAAACCTCAGTTCCCTGGCCTGGTTTCAGTTACTGTCTTGTCCCCAATCCCAGTGGTTAGTGAAGGAGGGCAGCTTCAATCAAGGTGTCAGAAGGCCTTGACCCTGCCTAGTTTTTTTTTTTTGGGGGGGGGGGCGTCCAGTCGTGGGCCCTGAACTCTGGGCCTAGGCGCTGTCCCTCAGCTCTTCAGCTCAAGGCAAGCGCTCTACCACTGAGCCACCTTCCCAGCCCCCCTGCCTAGTTCTTGATGAGCCCCTCCTGCCCCAGGGAAGAACAGAGTAAGAATCTTGAGTTTAATGGTAAGAATCCTAAGCGTAATGGTAAGAATCCTCCTCTCAGGAGGCTGAGATCTGAGGATCACAAATCACAGCCAGCCCAGCAGGAAAGTCTGTGAGACTCTTTTTTTTGGGGGGGGGAGGGGTAGGTCCTGGGGCTTGAACTCTGGACCTGAGCGCTGTCTCTCAGCTCTTCAGCTCAAGAAGAGTGTTTTACCACTTGAGCCACATCGCCATTTCCAGTTTTCTGGTAGTTAATTAGAGATAAGAATCTCATGGACTTTCCTGCCCAGGCTGGCTTTGAACTGTGATCCTCAGATCTCAACCTCCTGAGTAGCTAGAATTACAGGTGTGAGCCACCAGCATCCAGCTTTCTGTAAGACTTTTATCTCCAATGAACCACCAGAAAACCAGAAGTGGTGCTGTGGCTCGAGTGGTAAAGCGCTCACTTTGAGCTGAAGAGCTGAGGAAGGGCTGGGAAGGTGGCTCAGTGGTAGAGTGCTTGTCTTCCATGCATGAGACCCTGAGTTCAATTCCTCAGCACCACATAAGCAGAAAAAGCCGGAAGTGGCGCTGTGGCTCAAGTGGTAGAGCGCTAGCCTTGAACTGCAGAGCTGAGGACAGCACTCAGGCTCAGAGCTCAGGCCCCATGACCGGCAAAAAAAAAAAAAAAAAAAAAGAGCTGAGGGACAGCATGCAGGCCCAGAGTTCAAGCCCCACCATGGACAGGAAGGAAAAAAAGAGTAAGAAGCCTGACCTTAAGCCCCTGCTCTGAGCTACATTGTTACAGCATTGCTGGGAACCTTAAACATTGTATCCACCGTGCACTTACAGCAAAATTAGACCAGCTCAGGACTTCTCTGTATTTTTTTTTCTTTTGCCTGTCCTGGGCCTTGAACTCAGGGCCTGGGTTCTGAGCTGCTCTGTGTCAAGGCTAGCTCTCTTCTACTAGAGGCACAGTACCACTTCCGGCCTTTTTTGTTTATGTGTTGCTGAGGAATCGAACCCAGGGCTTAATGCATGTGAGGCAAGCACTCTACCAAAAAGCCACATTCCCAGCCATCTTTTTCCCCCCCGCCTTTTAGCCAGTCATGTGGCTTGAACTCAGGGCCTAGGCACTGTCCCTGAGCTCTTTTGCTCAAGGCTAGCGCTCTACCACTTTAACCCAGTGCTCCACTTCCGATTTTCTGGTTCATTGGAGATAAGTGTCACAGACTTTCCTGCCTGGGCTGGCTTAGAACTTCAGATTTTAGTCTCCCGAGTAAGTAGGATGACAGGTGTGAACCACTAGCACCTGGCCATTCTCTGTAATTCTTCATCCACTTTCCTCTCAGCCATTTCACACCGGAAGCTTGCAATTGATAGAAGCGTTGGGTTTGCCCCAGAGAAATGGACACCGGCCACACCTCAGCCCTTCTCCTCCCAGCCCCATCCAGTCCCGACTGACCGTCCCCTGCCAACAACACAGGCTGCATACTGCTTGATAGAAGTTGGATATACAATCTGAATTCATGTTGATTTGGGGGTGCATCAGAGTGGGGTACCTAAAGGTAGGGGACAGATGCAGTGCAGAGGCTGGGTGCCAGTGGCTCACATGAAAGAGAACAGGATAAAAACGAATACAAACACCTAAGAACGAAAAAAAAAGGAAACCCCAGAAAAACCCCATGAGACTTTAATCTGCAAAAGAAGCCAGAAGTGGGGCTATGGCTCAAGTAATAGAGTGCTGGCCTTGATTGAAAGAAGCTCAGGGACAGTACCAGGACCCCTGAGTTCAAGCCCCAGGACTGGCACAAAGAAGGAGGAGGAGGAGGAGGAGGAGGAGGAGGAGGAGGAGGAGGAGGAGGAGGAGGAGGAGGAGGAGGAGGAGGAGGAGGAGGAGGAGGAGGAGGATTTGAACGATCAAGATTTGAAGCTAGCCAGAGGAAAAAAGTCTATGAGACTTTTTTCTCCAGTTAACCAGCAAAAAGCCAGAAGAGATGTGGCTCAGGTGGTAGAGCATCAGCCTTAAATGATAAAGATAAGAGTGTAAATCACAGAGTTCAAGCCCTGCTTCCAGCAAATGTTTTTCTTTTTTTTTTTTTTGTCAGTCGTGGGACTTAAACTCTGGGTCTGGGCGTTGTCCCTCAGCTCTTCAGCTCAAGGCGAGCGCTCTACCACTTGAGCTACAGTGCAACTTCTGGTTTTCTGGTGGTTTATTGGAGATAGGAGTCTCACGGTCTCTCCTGCCCGGGCTGGCATTGAACCGCCATCCTCAGATCTCAGCCTCCTGAGTAGCTAGGATTACAGGCGTGAGCCACCAGCACCTGGCCAGCAAATGTTTTTCAACAGGCACTGTTGGCCCATGTTTGTTATCCTAGCTACTTAGAAGGCTGAGATCTAAAGATCATAGTTCAAAGCCAACCCAGTAAGGAAAATCCATAAGACTTAACACCAGAAAATCACATTAAATAGCTGAAAGTAGAGCTGTGGCTCAAGTGGTAGAGCTCTAACATTGAGCAAAGGGAGCTCAGGGCCAGAGGATAAGCCCTAATTTCAATCTCTATGACTGACAAAAGAAAGAAGCCAGGCACTGGTGGCTCATGCCTATAGTCCTGTAATCCTGGCTACTCAGGAGGCTGAGATCAAAGCCAGCCTGGGTAGGACTGACTCTTATCTCCAATAAACCACCAGAAACTGGAAGTGGCGCTGTGGGTCAAGTGGTAGAGCGCTCGCCTTGAGCTGAAGAGCTGTGGGACAGTGCCCACCACATGTGGCTCCTTGCATGGGAAACACAAGCAGCCAGATCTGGAGGCCCAGCCTCTACCTCCAGCCTCAGAGGAAACAGCATCACTCAAGTGGGACAGCACATGGCAGTAAGTTAAGTGTCCAGCAGCACACACAGAACACCACACAATGATGCATTCTGCATAATTTATTTGCACAATATTACAAAGAGTAGAAAAATAAACATCTTACTGGCTCTGAGTTGGAGAATTTACACAGGTAATAAATACATAAATAGCAATGGGGGAGGGCCATCAATTAGAACAAGAGGTGGGCGCATGAATGAGGCCCAGGCTCCGGCACAGGTGGCGCAGGAGCACGGTCATGCGCACTGGGGTCCCTTGGCAACACAGCTCAGGTCCAGGGTGAGGAGACGGAACAGGTTGAAGGTGACAGACGCCAGCAGGCAGCCTGGAGACTCCTGGGGGGGGACAGAGGGAGGACTCAGGGCTGTCCCAACTTGGGATCCAGACACAGCACACCCCACCCCGTCCCTTCCCGCCACGCGCCCCTCACCTGCTTCAGGGCGGCCTGGAGCTTGTGCAGCCAGTGGGACAGGCGGCGGCTGTGGGGCCTGGGGCTGGATGAGGGCTGAGTCTGGGCCTGGGGACAGAGCAGGGTGGAGGTGAGGCCAGGCCTGGGTCCCAGGGGGCCACCAGGAATCAGAGCCCCTCCCCCACATGGTGTCCCCACTGCCCCAACCTGGGCCCAGGACTCACACAGGCTTGGAGCTGGGAGTGGATGTGGCGCAGGGTGCTGAGCGGCTGGTCCAGGATGTCCCCCAGGGCGGGGTCAGCCACAGAGCCCAGCACCCTCAGCGTCAGGTCCAGCTCAGCACGCAGGGCCTCGGGGCGCTCCCACACCTGAGCAGGGACACAGGAGGGGGAGGCTCAGGAGAGGGAGGATGAGGGCTGGGAGGGGCATCTGGAGGGACAGGGAAGGTGGCAGGGAGGGGACACTGGCAGCAACACAGACAATGCTTTCCATGGACCAGGTCTGGGGAGTCATGGGCAGAAGGGAGGAGGGAGGCAGAGAGGCGAGGACTCAGAGAGGAGGCAGCAGAAGCAGTTGCTGAGGGGAGGCCAGGCCTGATTCCAACTCACCTGCAGCTTCCTCAGGTCCCAGGCCTTGGGGAAGAGGTGGGAGCTGCACTTTGCCTCCTTCAGCAAGGGGTACTGTTCCTGGAAGGGGCAGGACACAGGTTAGCCCAGACAGGAGGGTCTAGGTTAGCCCAGTCAGGACCATACAGGAGGGGTGCAATTTCAGCCCAACTAGAAGGGATTACTTCCCCCACACAGGAGGAGGAAACATTAGCCAGGGCAGGAGGGGAAGAGGTTAGCCCACAGGAGAGGATGAAGGCTAGCCATCAGTGAAGGCATTGGAGGATGCTCACAGAAGAAGGGTTCACACCCGGGAAGATGGCAGGGTCACTCTGCTTGGGGTGGGGGAGGAATTAGCACCCAGCACTGAGAGCAGGAGATAGCCCCCTGCAGACAGGGTGCAGGTTAGCCCACTGTGGGAGGGGAGGATGGCCCCTGCAGCTCAGTGGTGATGGCCACACACAGCAGGAGGGGCAGCTGGAAGCCCCTGGGACTCACCAAGGCATCCTTGGCTCTCTTGAAGGTCTGCAGCACTTGCGGGGAGAGGGACCTCAAGTGGCCCAGGTGGCAGTCCCTGGCACTTGGCTGGGTCCCGAGGGCCTTGGTGACAGGAGCTGCCTGTGCATTGCCCAAAGCCCAGGCCATCATCCACATCAGGAGGAGCCTGTGGCGCCCAGCCATGTCTGTGCACAGAAGGACAGCAGGTGAGCAAGGAGGGCCCAGGGCAGAGCTGGGGTGTGGTGTGGTGGAGGGAGGCGGGCGCCTCAGGAGCACCTGGAACTCACCCAGCACCATCAGTGCCTCTGGCATCTGTCTGCAGTGGAGCCTCTGGTGCACTGGAGCCTGGTTCTCCGGGCTGGCGGCTGGCAGGGCGACTCGGGCTCAGTGTGTCCTGCTGGACTGCAGCCTGCTGGGCCAGGACAGCTGTGGCTCGTGGGTTCCAGTGCTGTGTGGGACTCCACGATGACTGTCTGGACTCCATGGTGCTGCTTTTAACCCGGCTGGATGGGCAGTCCCAGCTGATGTAGGAAAATCGAAAACACAACCACAACCTGGCTGACTCTGGCCTCTGGGAGAGCCAGGGCTGGGAAAGCCCGGAGCGGGGCGGGGCCACAGCCAGGTGAGTGGCTGAAGTGAAAGGGAAAGGAAACAACCCCCTGGCAAGTGAAATAGTGACTTCCAGGACAGGAGGAGCCTCAGGCCCAACGGAGAGGTCCCACTGCCTGTCACAGTGCATCTAAATCAGAGAGAGAAGAGGGGCCGGGCAAGGCTCTGGCCTTGTTCAGGAATCCACGAGTCTGGAGAACTTCGGGCCCCAGGGCAGTGCTGCTGAGAAGCTGGAAGGTGCCCAGGGACCCTGTGAATGAAGGGGAGAGGACACACATCATTTTCTGACTAATGACATCCAAGAAGGATGTGGTCAGCCACCATCTTGGGGCTGACACTGTAGGAAGAGACAGCTCAGCAAACCAGGACTGCCAACAAGATAAAAGAATCTCTCCTGGGAGGGCTCATGTCTGTAATCCTAGCTACTCGGGAGGCTGAGATCTGAGGATCCTGGTGTGAAAATAGCCCAGGCAGACAAATCTGACAGATTCCTGTCTCCAATTAACCAGCAAAATGCCAGATGTAGAGTGGGTCCTATAGTAGAGTGCCAACTTTGATCCAAAAAGGTTAAGGGAGATAGACCAGGCCCTCAGTTCAAGCCTTAGCGTCAGCACAGACAGACAGACAGACATACAGACAGACAGACAGACAGACAGACAGACACACACACACACACACACACACACACAGACCCCAAGGGCATGCATTGATCCAACTCAGATGCATTCTAACCCCCTTCCTTCCTCCACATTTACTCCACCTTTGTAAATACATAGAAAACCTCACAGATGAGGAACTTGAAGCTGTCCAGTGTGGAGTTCCCAGAGTGACACTCTATTTCCATGTTAGGGTCACATTTGAGACTCGTGCCAGTGATTTCTGGTTCATGTTTCTGTTTCTGGACGAGGGTTGGTGATAGAATGTACCTCATAGTGGCAGTGAAAACTAAACAACACAAATGAAGCATTATTCCTCGTTACCATTTTAATGTAATAACTTAAATTTCAGCACCAAGAGAAAGAAGAGCAAACAAGGGAATTTCAGAAGTACAAATTACACCCAGGTCACAGAATGCACAGTGACAGTAACTTGAGGACATTGGGGTGTCACTAGCAGCTCCTTAGAGAACGGAGGTGTGAGGGGGCCTCTAGTGAGGATGAGGATCCCAGAAACACAGATTCACAGAATCCACTCAAGTCACAGGGGTTGGGATCTGCAATGGCAGGATGAGATTGCCAGGAATCTCAGAAGCGAGCTGTGGCCCCAGATACCGGAGCTCATCTCTCTCCTACTAGAAGATTCTTGGAGGACTGCAGAGCCTTCAGCGAATGTCTGAGATCTCTTCTTGAGAAGAAACACAGGCAGCAGCCAATGGCAGCAGTAGACCCCGGGAGCCTCAGCGTTCATTGGTTGACAAGCATCTGGTCCTGCAGGCAGCAGCCAATGGTGCGGCGAGTTTCGGAGCCCCGCGGATCCGCGCGGGCGTCTCACACGCAGGGCTCCGCGACGGCCACCTGCCTGAGGTCCCGCGTGAGCGTCCTCAGGAGACCGAAGATGACCTCGGCTTCGTGACAGCGCGGCGAGGCCTGCCGGCCGAGCGGAGGCGGGCGGCGCCCGGTCAGGGTTCCCTCCCGCTCCGCCCCCCGCGCCGCCGGGACCCGCGCCGCCCGCGGGTCGGTCCCGCCACCGGCCCCGGGGCCCCGCACGCCGCCCTCGCCCCGCGCCCTCACCGCTCTGCGCGCTGCGTGGCGCCTCTTCGGCGGCCGCCGCGACGTCCTGGGAAATCTGGGCGGGATCTGCCGCAGCTGCGGGCGGACGCGGGGCCGTGAGGACGCGGGCCGGGCGCCCCCTCCCCGACGCCCGACGCCCTCCTCGGCCCCACAGCCCGCCCGGCCCTGGCGGACGCGGGGCGCGCGGGGCGCGGCGGTGGCCCGGGGTTCCGCCCGGCGGGCGGCTGCAAAGCGGGGCCGAGGGCGCGGGGCACTCACGCAGGCCTCCAGGTCCCGCCGCGCGGCTGCCAGCAGCTGCAGCGTGGGGCGGGTGCCGGGGAGGAGCGCGAGCGGTCCCGGGCTGTTCAGCACCGCCTGGGCGTCGGCGATGGCGCGGGCCACGTGTCGGAGCCGGGCACACGACTGCGGGGAGCCGGCAGTGAGACCGCGTCGAGCCCGCCGCGCCCGCCGCGCCCGTCCCTGCCCGTCCCCGCCCGTCCCCGCCTCACCGAGGCCGGCGGCCGATCCCTGCGGACGCCGAACGAGCAGTTGCGGGGCAGCTGGCTCAGCAGCTCTTTCTCCTGTGGGACCAGTGCCGGGTGAGCCCGGGCTCCCCACTCCGCACCCCGGATCCCAATCGCGGGAATCCCGGGATCTGCGCGGAGCAGGGTCCGGGGAGGATGACGGGACCTGCGACTGGGACGCGGGGACGCACAGGACGCGGGAATCGCGCGTCTCCTGGGTCCTGCCCGGACGGGGTCCCACCGAGGCAGGCGGCACCCGTGCTCCGCGGAGCTGGGGTTCTCCCCGCACCCGGCTCGCGGGCCCCTGGGATCTGCCCCGAGCTGGCTCTACTCGGAGCCACCAGGACCAGCGCCTGTTGAGGCTGGCGTCCCCTCGCCCGGCCCCTGCCAGGCCGCTATCGCGGGAAGCCTGGGATCCTGCAAAGGGCAGAGACGACTGGCGGTCCTAAATCCCAGGCCCGGCTCTCTCTCGGGCTGAGCGCCACGGACCACAGCCCGGGCTCTGGATGCCCAGCCCGGCGCCCCGACGAGAGGCCGGGAAGCGGCCCTCGGGGAACGTCCCGACACGAGTGTGGACGCGGGGACATGGAAAGCTGGGGAGGGCACGCGGGGCTCAGGTTGGGTGTCACTCACGTAGCCATCCCTCAGCGCCCTGACGGCCTCCAGCGCCCTGGGCGCCAGCGAGCGATATTGGGAGAGGACGCAGCGCCCAGGCTCCACCGCCAGCCCCGCCGCCGCCGCCGCCAGCGCGCACAGCACCAAGGCCAAGGCCGCTCCGGACCTCCGGGGCATCTCTGCTCCTGCGGGAGCCCACCGCATCAGCCAGGCCAAAGACAGGACCCCCCCCCCCCACCCCGATCCCCATTCCCCCCGCACTGCAGGAGGCTGACACCCGGCCGCTGCCCTGGCCACACGCAGGGGACACACTGTGGACCCCAGACGCCGGCCTCCCTCCCGCACTCTTCACCTGCAGTGAGTCCTGGTGGTCGGAGGCCGGGGCACCTCTGATCCTTTGTCCCTTGGGTGGTGTGCAGAGAGCTGCCCACCTTTGCCAGTGATTTTCACACCGTCCATGGTGATTTTTATGTGCCTGGAGGAGAGATGGTTCGAAGCTGGGCTTCCCCGACCGCGGAATCCTTTTCGGAACGTCATCTCTGGCTCTTGACCCAGTGTGATGTTATGCAACGTGGTGAACTTTACTCATTCATCGTCCAGTCCCAGCCATGCTCTTACGCCAGTGTGTCATCTAAATAAACTGACTGGACACCCGCTTGTCCCCGGTCTCTGTCCATTTTCTCTTCTGCACTCTAGGAATCGACTGGCAACAAACCTCTTTGAAAGGTTCACAGTCTCCACCAGCTTTCTTGCCCAAGTCTGTTGCACTACCACTTTAGGGAGACCTATGTCTAGTGTTTTGCTAATTAATTGGAGACCATTATCCTCCCTTGGCTGTTGTTGAACCCTGACCCTCAGATCTCAGTGTCCTGGGTAGCGTTTCAGTATTATAGTGCTCAGTTTTTTTTTTTAACTTTTTTATTGTAAAGATACTATACAGAGGGTTACAGTTACATGAGCAAGGTAATGAGTACACTTCCTATTGAGCATTGTTACCCCCTCCATTGTTTGCCCCCTATCATCCCTTCCCTCCCTACCTTCCCCAGGTTCTTTTTTTTTTAAATTGTGATGAAGTGATTACATAATTTCCCAAATTTCACAGTATTGTGGAATAATGATCTTCATTTAAAGTCACAAGTTCATTCTAACTTTCCTGGAGTAAATTGTCTATCACAGTCTATAACATATAACGGTGTACACATATACACCATACATGGGTATATTTAGTAGTGGTTCGATCAGATGAGTGGGAGTTCTTTGTTTCTTGAGTCCTATTAGTTTTGTCGTATCACCTAACATTTTGGATTTAGCATCCACTTATCAGGGAGACCATGTACCGTTTGTCTCTTTGCTCTTGGCTTACCTCACTCAACATGATTCCTTCTAGCTCTATCCATTTCCCTGCAAATGCCATTATTTTGTCATTTCTAATGGCTGCGTAATATTCCATTGTGTATAGATACCACAATTTTTGGATCCATTCATCTGTGGTGGGGCATCTGGGTTGTTTCCATATCCTAGCTATTGTGAACAGTGCTGCAATAAACATGGAGGTGCACGTGTCCTTGTATATTGGTTCCTGTTGTTCAGGGTAGATGCCTAGAAGTGGTATGACTGGGTCGTAAGGGAGGTCAATCTTTAGCTTTCTAAGGACCCTCCAGACTGCTTTCCAAAGTGGTTGTATAAGTGTATATTCCCACCAGCAGTGTAATAGGGTTCCTCTTTTTCCGCATCCCCTCCAGCATTTGTCGTTGGCTGATTTGTGGATGTGGGACATTCTGACTGGGGTAAGGTGGTATCTCAGGGTTGTCTTATTTGCATTTCCTTCACCACCAGGGATGATGAACATTTCCTCATGCGTTTCTTTGCCTTTTTTTTTTTTTTTGTCGGTCGTGGGGCTTGAACTCTGGGCCTGGGCGCTGTCCCTCAGCTCTTCAGCTCAAGGCGAGCGCTCTACCACTTGAGCTACAGCGCCACTTCCAGTTTTCTGGTGGTTTATTGGAGATAGGAGTCTCATGGTCTCTCCT